ATTGTTGGATTGGGTTGTTTGTTTTTCTGTTACTGAGCTGCATGAGCTGCTTGTAAATTTTGGAGATTAATCCTTTGTCAGTTGCTTCATTTGCAAATATTTTCTCCCATTCTGAGGGCTGTCTTTTGGTCTTGTTTATGGTTTCCTTTGCTGTGCAAAAGCTTTGAAGTTTCATTAGGCCCCATTTGTTTATTTTTGTTTTTATTTCCATTACTCTAGGAGGTGGGTCAGAAAGGATCTTGCTGTGATTTATGTCATAGAGTGTTCTGCCTATGTTTTCCTCTAAGAGTTTGATAGTTTCTGGCCTTACATTTAGGTCTTTAATCCATTTTGAGCTTATTTTTGTGTATGGTGTTAGGGAGTGTTCTAATCTCATACTTTTACATGTACCTGACCAGTTTTCCCAGCACCACTTATTGAAGAGGCTGTCCTTTCTCCACTGTACATTCCTGCCACCTTTATCAAAGATAAGGTGTCCATATGTGCGTGGGTTTATCTCTGGGCTTTCTATCCTGTTCCATTGATCTATCTTTCTGTTTTTGTGCCAGTACCATACTGTCTTGATTACTGTAGCTTTGTAGTATAGTCAAGTCAGGGAGCCTGATTCCTCCAGCTCCTTTTTTCGTTCTCAAGATTGCTTTGGCTATTCGGGGTCTTTTGTGTTTCCATACAAATTGTGAATTTTTTTGTTCTAGTTCTGTGAAAAATGCCAGTGGTAGTTTGATAGGGATTGCATTGAATCTATAGATTGCTTTGGGTAGTAGAGTCATTTTCACAATGTTGATTCTTCCAATCCAAGAACATGGTATATCTCTCCATCTATTTGTATCATCTTTAATTTCTTTCATCAATGTCTTATAATTTTCTGCATACAGGTCTTTTGTCTCGTTAGGTAGGTTTATTCCTAGATATTTTATTCTGTTTGTTGCAATGGTAAATGGGAGTGTTTTCTTGATTTCACTTTCAGATTTTTCATCATTAGTGTATAGGAATGCCAGAGATTTCTGTGCATTAATTTTGTATCCTGCTACTTTACCAAATTCATTGATTAGCTCTAGTAGTTTTCTGGTAGCATCTTTAGGATTCTCTGTGTATAGTATCATGTCATCTGCAAACAGTGACAGCTTTACTTCTTCTTTTCCGATTTGGATTCCTTTTATTTCCTTTTCTTCTCTGATTGCTATGGCTAAAACTTCCAAAACTATGTTGAGTAAGAGTGGTGAGTGTGGGCAACCTTGTCTTGTTCCTGATCTTAGTGGAAATGCTTTCAGTTTTTCACCATTGAGGATGATGTTGGCTGTGGGTTTGTCATATATGGCCTTTATTATGTTGAGGAAAGTTCCCTCTATGCCTACTTTCTGCAGGGTTTTTATCATAAATGGGTGTTGAATTTTGTCAAAAGCTTTCTCTGCATCTATTGAGATGATCATATGGTTTTTCTCCTTCAATTTGTTAATATGGTTTATCACATTGATAGATTTGCGTATATTGAAGAATCCTTGCATTCCTGGAATAAATCCCACTTGATCATGGTGTATGATCCTTTTAAGGTGCTGTTGGATTCTGTTTGCTAGTATTTTGTTGAGGATTTTTGCATCTATGTTCATCAGTGATATTGGCCTGTAGTTTTCTTTCTTTGTGACATCCTTGTCTGGTTTTGGTATCAAGGTGATGGTGGCCTCGTAGAAGGAATTTGGGAGTGTTCCTCCCTTTGCTATATTTTGGAAGAGTTTGAGAAGGATAGGTGTTAGCTCTTCTCTAACTGTTTGATAGATTTCGCCTGTGAAGCCATCTGGTCCTGGGCTTTTGTTTGTTGGAAGATTTTTAATCACAGTTTCAATTTCAGTGCTTGTGATTGGTCTGTTCATATTTTCTATTATTTCCTTTCTAACAATTACATCCTGTTCTTGAAAGAAACATGGCAATTATTTTTGAAAATATATACTTACAGGTTAGACAGACTGAATTTTGCTGCCTTAAGCTTTTTTGTTTAAACTAATTTTTTTAAGTTATTTCTCCATAATTTAGTAAGCACTGTAACAACTTCCATTAGTAAAAATAGCTGAACAAGGCGTATTACTTTGGAAAATTAAAACAAAAGAAAAAAAACACGCACACACAACAACAAAAAGTTGGTTTTAACTAAGTCCAAGTTTTCTCACTTTCTTTGTCCCTATTTGTAATATGTTTAGATTTAGTTTAATCCCAGAGCCTTTCTCAGAGACTCTATTGAGATCTATATTTAATCAGCCTCCCAAATCTGCTCTATTTGCCAGATTCCTTTTCTAGCTTTCCCAAAAAGGCACTCAGTATCCTGTTCTTGGAGTCAATCCAAAAATAAGCACTCATTTTGGATGACTAAGAACCTTAGCAAACACCTGGCCAAAAAGCAAGGCCATGCTACATACATGTAGCATCTACCAACTGAGGAATACAAGACTTGATCAAGAAGGTTACAAAGAAGTTTCCCAAACTGGACAGCTTTCCCACAAATAGCTTTTTGCTTCTCAAATTTTAAATGTACAAGAGGATCGCCATTTACAGTAAACAAAACCTCTATATGGGAAGAAATACAGCTTCATATATCAAAGAACAAGAGGAAAAGCCCTATCATCTACTAATGGCCTAGAAAATGAAGACATCCAGAAAGCCTTTAATGAGTCTAATAGATGTTGTCTTTTAGTACAATAACTACAACAGACAGTCTACTATGAGCTAAGTAGCATGCTAGAAACCTAATATGTATTTGCTCTATTTTTCATACTAAATAGTGAAATAAGAACTTGCATTCTGGGCTTCTCTGGTGGCAGAGTGGTTAAGAATCCGCCTGTCAATGCAGGGGACAGGGGTTTGAGCCCTGGTCCAGGAAGATCCCACATGCCATGGAGCAACTAAGCTCATGCGCCACAGCTACTGAGCCTGCGCTCTAGAGCCTGCGCGCCACAATTACTGAGCCCTTGTGCCACAACTATGGAAGCCCACATGCCTAGAGCCCATGCTCCGCAACAAGAGAAGCCACCGCAATCAGAAGCCTGCGCACCGCAACAAAGAGTAACCCCCGCTCACCACCACTAGAGAAAGCCCACGCACAGCAATGAAGACCCAATGCAGCCAAAAGTAAAATAAATAAATTTATAAATAAATAGAACCTAAGATTAAAAAAAAAGAACTTGCATTTTATAAACTTTAACATGCTCAGAGAGATGAAACTAAAAAGAGGTGAAGCCACTTGCCCAAGGACACACAGCTACCCTGAAGAACCAGCATGAAAACTTGTTCTGCCTGACCCTTAAATCTATATTACTCGATTTACCACCTACCAAAATCAACAGTCTGATTTAAATAGCTATTGTTTCATATAACCATTCTGTTAATAATGAAAGCCTTAAAAAGTCTATGGACTCTAAAAAGTTCTACAAATATCTCTGTGTTGACTCCTAATATGTATGCCTTTGTGCACACGTATGCTTAGCAATTACTGACAAAAATTTAGAGACTGACTCAAAGCCAAGACTTATTATGCCTCTAAACTGTAATATGAACCAAAAATACCACACTCCAAGCTGGTTCTTTGGAAAGATCAATACAACTGATAAATATCTAGCTGAGCTAACCAAGGGGAAAAAAAAAAAAAAAGAGAAGACACAAATTACTACTATCAAAAATGAAAGAGGGGCCATCACTACCAATTCCATGACTTTAAAAAGATAAAAGAATATTATGAACAATATGCCCACAAATTTGGTAAATTACATGAAATGAACTAATTCCTACCAAAATTCACACAAGAAGAAATACAGCATCTGAATGGGCCTATATCTATTAAAGAAACTGAATCAATAATTAATAACCTTACAAAACACAAAGTACCCAGCCCAAATGGTCACATTGGTGAATTCTAAGAAACACTGAAGAAATGATACCAATTCTCTGCAATCTACTCCAGAAAACAGAACCAGTGGGAACACTTCCTAACTCATCCTATGAGGGCAGAATCAACATAACATTAAAACCAGACAAAGACATTAAAAGAAAGGAAAATGACAGACCAATATCTCTGATTCAACATTTGAAAACCAGTTAATGTAATCCATCATGTCAACAGGATAAAAAAGAAAAATCATATAGGATCATAGCAACATATGCACAAAAAGCATTTGACAAAATCTAACACCCACTCATGATAAAAATTCTCAGAAAACTAGGAATGGAGAGGAACTTCTTCAACTTGATAAAGAACATCTATATATAAACTTACAGCTAACATCATACGTAACGGTGAGAAACTAGATATTTTCCCCCTAAGATCAGAAACAGGACAAAGATGTCCCCTCTTACCACTTCTATTTAACATGGTACTGGAAGTCCTAGCTAAAGCCATAAGAAAAGGAAATAAAAGGTATTCAGATTGCGAAGGAAGAAATAAAACTGTCTTTGTTTGCTGATGATATAATTTGCTATGTAGAAAATCCTGAAGAAGCAACAACAACAAAAAATCTCCTGGACCTAAGCAATTATAGCAAGATTACAGGATACAAGGTTAGTATACAAAAGTCAACTGTTTTCTCACATACCAGCAATGAACAATTAGAATTCGAAATTAGAATTTGAAAAACATAATACCATTTACATTAATTAGTACTAAAAATTAAATTATTTATTATAAATCTAACAAAATATGAACAAGACCTATATGAAGAAAATTACAAAACTCTGATAAAAGAAACCAAAGTCTAAATAAATGAAGAGGTATTCCATGTTCGTAAATAGGAAGACTCAACATTAAGATATCAATTCTTCCCAACTTGATTTATAGATTCAACACAATCCCCATAAAAATCCCAGCACGTTATTTTGTAAATATCAACAAAATGATTCTAAAGTTCATATGGAAAAGCAAAAGATCCAGAATAGCCAACATAATATTGAAGGAAAAGAACGAAGTTGGAGGACTGACACTACTGGACCTCAAGACTTACTGTAAAGCTGCAGTGATCAAGACAGTGTGGTACTGGCAAAAGAAAAGTCAAATAGATCAATGGAAGAGAATACAGAGCCCAGAAATAGACCCGCACAAATCTGGTCAACCGACCTTTGACAAAACAGCAAAGGTAATTCAATGGAGAAAGGTTAGACTTTTCAAAAAACGGTGCTGCAACAACTGGACAACCACATGCAAAAAAATGAATCTAGACATAAACTTTATACCTTTCACGAAAATTAACTTAAAATGAATCATAGCCCTAAATGTAAAATGCAAAACTATAAAACTTCTAGAAGATAACACAGGATAAAATCTAGGTAACTCTGGGTTTGGCAATGACTCTATAGATACAACACCAAAAGCACAATCCTTGAAAGAAAAAATTGATAAGTTGGACTTCATTAGAATTAAAAACTTCCACTCTGTGAAAAACACTGTTAAGAGAAAGAAAAGACAAGCCACAAATTGGAAGAAAATCTTTGCATAACACATATCTGATTAAGGACATGTATCCAAACATACTAATAACTCTTATAATTCAACAATAAGAAAACAGGGACTTCTCTGGTGGTCCAGGTAAGACTCCGCACTCCCAGTGCAGGGGGCCCAGGTTCGATCCCCGGTCGGGGAACTAGATCCCACATGCATGCCGCAACTAAGAGTCTGCCGCAACTAACAGTCTGTGTGCAGGACTCCCCTGGTGGTGCCGTGGTTAAGAAACCGCCTGCCAATACAGGAGACACGGGTAAGAGCCCTGGTCCAGGAAGATCCCACATGCCGCAGAGCAAGTAAGCCCGTGCACCACAATTACTGAGCCTATACTCTAGAGCCCACGGTCCACAACTAGTGAGCCTGCGTGCTGTAACTACTGAAGCCTACACACCTAGAGCCCATGCTCCACAACAAGAGAAGCCACCGCAGTGAGAAGTCCGCACACCGTAATGAAGACCCAACGCAGCCAAAAAAAAATTAAAATAGATAATAAGACAGATCAACTGTTCGATGTGGAAAGGTTTCCAAAACATTAAAAAAAAAGTCTGCATGCTGCAAACAAGTAGTCTGCATGCCAAAACAAAGATCCCACATGCCACAACTAAGACCCGGCAGAGCCAAAATAAATAAATAAAATATTTTTAAGAAAACAAACAACCCACGATACAAAAATCAATATACAAAAATCTTTTGCATTTCGTATACACTAATAATGAATTATCAGAAAGAGAAATTAAGAAAACAATCTCATTTACAATTGCATCAAAAAGTATAAAATATCTAGGAATAAATTTAACTAAGAAGGTGAAAGACTTGTACACTGAAAACTACTTTAAGACACTGATGAAAGAAACTGAAGGCACAAACAAATGGAAAGATATTCTGTGCTCATAGATTGGAAGAATTAACATTGTTAAAATGTCCATACTACCCAAAGCAATCTACAGATTCAATGCAATCTCTATCAAAATTCCAATGGTTTTTTTCACAGAATTAGAAAAAACAATTTTAAAATTTGTACAGAACCACAAAAGACCCCAAATAGCCAAAGCAATCTTGAGAAAGAAGGACAAAGCCAGAGGCATCATACACTCTGATTTCAAATTATTACAAAGCTATAGTAATCAAAACACAATGGTACTGGCATAAAAACAGACACACAGATCAATGGAACAGAACAAGAGAGCCTAGAAATAAACCCACGTATATATGGCCAATTAATTTATGACAAAGGATCCAAGAATATACAACGGGGAAAGGACAATCTCTTCAAAAATGGTGTTGGGAAAACTGGACAGCCACATACAAAAGAATGAAACTGAATTTCTATCTTATACCATACACAAAAATTAACTCAAAATGCATTAAAGAGTTGAATGTAAGACCCAAAACCATAAAACTCCTGAAAGAAACACAGGCAGTAAGCTCCCTGATGTTGGTCTTGGTGATGATTTTTTTGGATCTGACACCTAAAGCAAAGGCAATAAAAGCAAAAATAAACAAGTGAGACTAATCAAATTAAAAAGCTTCTGCACAGGGACTTCCCTGGTAGTCCAGTGGTAAAGAATCCACCTTACAATGCAGGGGACATGGGTTCGATCCCTGGCCAGGGAACTAAGATCCAACCTGCCATGGGGCAACTAAGCCCATGCGCCACAACTACAGAGCCCACGCACCCTGGAGCCTGCAGGCCACAACTAGAGAGAAGCCCGAGGGCCACAACAAAGAGCCCGAGAGCCACAACGAAAGATCCCACATGCCTCAACTAAGAGCCAGCGCAACCAAAAAAAATTTTTTTTTATAAATAATAATAAATCTTTAAAAAGAAAAGCTTCTGCACAGCAAAAGAAACCATCAACAAAATAAAAAGGCAACCTACTGAATGGAGAAAACATCTGCAAATCATGTATCTGATAAGGGGCTAATATCCAATATACAGAAGAACTCATACAATTCAATACCAAAAAAAAATCTAATTAAAAAATGGACAGAAGATCTGAATAGACATTTTCCAAAGAAGACATACAGATGGCCAACAGACACGTGGAAAGATGTTCAACACCACTAATCATCAGGGAAATGCAAATCAAAACCATAATGAGATATGACTTCACATCTGTCAGAATGGTTATTATCAAAAAAACAAGAAACATCAAGTTTTGGCAAGGATGTGAAGAAAGGGGAACCCTTGTGCACTGTTGATGGAAACGTAAATTGGTACAGCCACTATGGAAAATAGTACAGAGGCTCTTCAAAACTTACTGTGGTGATCATTCCACAATGTATGCAAATACTGAATTATTATGTGTACACCTAAAGCTAATATAATGTTATGTCAATTATACCTCAGTTAAAAAACAAAGAAGGAAAACAAACCCGATTTTAAAATGGGCAAGGACTGGGCTTCCCCGGTGGCGCAGTGGTTGTGAGTCTGCCTGCCAATGCAGGGGACGCAGGTTCATGCCCTGGTCCGGGAAGATCCCACATGCCGCAGAGCGGCTGGACCTGTGAGCCATGGCCGCTGAGCCTGCGCATCTGGAGCCTGTGCTCCGCAACGGGAGAGGCCACAACGGTGAGAGGCCCGCGTACTGCAAAACAAAAACAAAACAAAAAACAAAACAAAACAAAAAAATGGGCAAGGACTTCCCTGGTGGCGCAGTGGTTAAGAATTTGCCTGCCAAGGCAGGGGACACGGGTTTGAGCCCTGGTCCGGGAAGATTCCACATACCGCGGAGCAACTAATCCCGTGCACCACAACTACTGAGCCTGTGCTCTAGAGCCCGCGAGCCACAACTGCTGAGCCCGTGTGCCACAACTACTGAAGCCCACGTGCCTAGAGCCTGTGCTCTGCAACAACAGAAGCCACCACAATGAGAAGCTTGCGCACGGCAACGAACAGTAGCCCCCGCTCAACACAACTAGAGAAAAGCCCGTGTGGAGCAACGAAGACCCAATGCAGCCAAAATTAAATAAATTTATTAAAAAAAAGAATCCGCCTGCCAATGCAGGGGACACGGTTTCGAGCCCTGGTGCAGGAAGATCCCACCTGTCGCGGAGCAAGTAAGCCCATGCGCCACAACTACTAAGCCTGTGCTCTAGAGCCCGTGAGCCACAACTACTGAGCCTGCGTGCCACAACTACCGAAGCCTGTGCGCCTAGAGCCCGTGCTCTGCAACGAAAAGCCACCACGATAAGAAGCCCACGTACCACAACAAAGAGTAGCCCCTGCTCTCCGCAACTAGAGAAAGCCCACGCTCAACAACGAAGACCCAACGCAGCCAAAAATATATAAATACATTTTAAAAAATAAAATGGGCAAAAGATCTGAACAGACACTTACCAAAGATATACAGATGACAAAGAAGCATATGAAAAGTTGTGCTACATCACATGTCATTAGGGAAGTGCAAATTAAAACAACAATGAAATACAAGTACGCACCTATTAGAATGGCTAAAATGCAAAACACAACAGCAAATGCTGGCGAGCATGGGAAGCAACGAGACTCATTGCTGGTGGGAACGCAGTGAAAACAGCCAGTTTGAAATCTCGCTTGGCAGCTGCTTACAAAGCTAAATATAGGTTTACCACATGATCCAGTAATCGTGCTCCTAGGTATTTACTTATATGAGCTGAAAATTTATGTCCATACAAACACCTGCACATGAATGTCTATAGCAGCCTTATTCATAATTGCCAAAACTTGGAAGCAATCAAGATGAACTTCAATAGGTGAATGGATAAACTGTGGTATATCCAGACAATGAAATATTGTTCAGTGATAAAAGGAAATGAGTTAACGAGGCAAAAAGGACATGGAGGAACCTTAAACGCATATTACTAAGTGACAGAAGCCAATCTGAGAAGGCTATACATACTGCCAAGTATATATGACATTCCATTAAAGGCAATACTGCAGAGATAAAAAAAGATCAGTGGTTATCAGGGGTTCAGGGGGTTTTGAGGAAGGATGAACAGATGAAACACAGAACATTTTTATGGCAGTGAAACTATCTCGTGTGATACTGTAATGGTGGATGCATAACATTATGTATTTGTCAAAACCCAAAGAACTGTACAATACCAAGAGTGAACCCTGGGACTTCCCTGGTGGTCCAGTGGGTCCAGCGCTCCCAATGCAGGGTGCCTGGGTTTGATCCCTGGTCAGGGAACTAGATCCCACATGCGGCAACTAAGAGCCCACATGCCGCAACTAAGACCCGGCACTGCATACATGCATGCGTGCATGCATGAATGAATGAATGAATAAATAGAGTGAACCCTAACAGACTTTAGTTAACAATAACATATCAATATTGGTTCATCAATTACAACAAATGTACCACACAGTCAAGATGTTAATGCCACACACACACACAATATTAGTAATATGGGAAACTGTGGGGGTGAGGGAGAGAAGGAACATAGAGGAAATTTCTACACTTTCTGGGCAATTTTTCTACAAACCTAAAGCTGCTCTAAAAATGAAGTCTATCAAAAAAAACCCACACTCCCTAAAAATGAACACTAATGCCACGAAGTAACAATGTACAATGTATAATCCAAAACATGTGAAGAAAAGAATGAGTATCAGGATGAACCAACGAGAGTGGCACAATTTAAATGCAAGTCAGGATCCTAACCTTCCATCAGCTGCTTGCAGGCTTCAGTTCTCAACTGAGGGATCAGTCAAAGAAAAGTGGATGCAATTACACAAAATCAAAATATTAGAGATAAAAGAAACTGTAAAGATCACCTACCCCACTCACTCACTTTTTAGATTGAGAGCATGAAACCTAAATGTTTAAACTCCTGTCTTAGCTCCTAGAAGCCAACAGATCTCATCTCT